CTCCTGGAAGATAGTTTCAGGCTGAACATTTGGAAAAACTTCTTTACAACTAGGGTGTCCAGACTATGGAACAAGCTCCCCCCAGAGGTGGTGCAATCATCTACCCTAGAGGCCTTCAAGAGAAGACTGGATGGTCACCTTGCTGGGGTTGTCTGACCCCAGATGTCTTTCCTGCTCATGCATGGGGCCGGACCCGATGATCCTTTGGGGTCCCTTCCAGCCCTATGATTCTAAGATATCGCAGATTCACAGACGTTTAGGGCTTGAAGGTGTCAATGAAAATTATTAGATTTGTGTGCTGCCAATACAGGAGAGTCGATCCTGACATGTGCAGACAGCCTAGGCTGCATGCCCTCTGCTCGACCCCTGGGCCTGTCAGTCATCCATGACCTACTTTTCAGCTTCGCACATGCTCAGTTGCCCACAAAACCTGACCAGGCGCACGCTCAGTCTTTCTGCAGCATGACATAATCTGACTAGAAATTTCTTTGCAGGATAGGATCTGATTGGTCACTAAAATTCGTATAAAGACCTGTGAGCCCCCACCAAGGGGTGGAGTTGTGGGGTGGTAGTTGTGGAGAGTTGGGGGAGTTGTGAGGTGGAGTTGTGGAGAGTTGGGGGAGAGTTAGTGATTAGTTGTCGGAGGTGTGAGCGGTCGTTGGCCTTGTGAGAAGAGGGAAAGCTGCTCGATCTGTTAGCAGAGGCTGCTTTCAGCAGGGACTGCGAAACAGAGAGAGATTGGGATCTCAATCCCCAGGTCCTCTCCTCACGACCCAACAATAGTTTTCGCATTGATTCTACTGGCGTATGACTGATCTCAGCACCGGTTACTGACAACGATATGGATCACCCTTGACTACCCTGACGACGGTTTTCGGCTTCTTCTACCTGGCACTTGACCTCAGCACAGCTATTCGACCATCCATTTGTCCACTTGGACTGGCGTCACGACTCAGTCTTTGTTCTTCGTCGTTACAGTTTTGTTGTTCGTTCTGTTCCTTTAATGAGCCGTTGACCAGCCCTGGGACTATTAAGTTGAGCAGCTGCCCCTAGCTCCAGCTAGATAGCAAGGGCTCACTTAAGAACCCCGTGGGCCAATGGACCCCTCCGTTATTTGTATTTACTGTAACTGAAGAAAGCAACTCTACCTACGCCTTCTAAGCGTAAGTCAAATAAATCACCTTTGTTTAAAACCACTACGCTTACGTGCCTCAGAACTCCACGCCAGAAATCCCGCCTGTTCCGTATCCAATTTGCCACCACCCGGCCGCCCCACCGTGACCACGAACATGAGCTTGGCTTGCCAGCTCCGCGGTGTGCCGACAGAAGGGACCTTGTGAGATCATTGGGTCCAGCCCCCCTGCTCTGGGCAGGAAAGACTGCTCAGTCAAATAACCCCACCAAGGTGTGCATCCTGTTTCCTTTTAAAGATCTCCAGGGTAGGTGCCTGCACCACCCCTGCTGGGAGTCTATATACATCATTACTGTCCTTCCAGATGTTGCTGTTTGGAGGATGCGGAACAGCTTGTACTGTCTTCTGGTTGAGGAGATATTGTTAACTGATGAAGTTACTCAGTGGGCAAGTTTAAAACCTGACAGAGTTGGAAGGCAAACAGTGCTAAGGAGTAGAAGGCCCTAAAAACTTACTTTTTGGAAAAACGTTCACCAACCCTTCCCCCTCCCCCCAACCTCAGTGCAAAATATTTAACTAGAAAACACAGAAAATGAAATACAACTATGTGTTAGTTAAACTGATGCAACCTGTGTCTCTTTTCCATGATCCAATAGTAGCATATATCTCACCAGTGATATATCTCACCTTCACCATGGACTAGGCATGAGGACCAGACTTGCTCCCTCTCGGAGTTGGCCCCTTCAGCCATGGGCTTTGTCTAGTGCACCCCTTGAGTGGCAGGCGTACCATCTTTTGGGTCTCTTCCACGACCCTCACTGGGGTAATGGCCAGCCAATTACCCAACCAGGTAATATAAGTAAAATAAATAAATGCTAAAGGGGCAGAACTGCTTACATGATTTCATAGATTTCATAGACATTAGGGCTGGAAGGGACCTCGGAAGATCATCAAGTCCAGCCCCCGACCCAAAGGGCAGGAAGTCAGCTGGGGTCATAGGATCCCAGCAAGATAAGCATCCAATTTGCTCTTGAAGGTTAATGAGTATTAGCTATGATAAAATGGGTCTATTCGATGCCTTGCTGTTAGCTGTATTTCTCGCTACATATCCATTTTGTTCTTCTGGAGTATAAATTATAGTTACTTTTCACACCCACTGGGTGTGTCTATGCAAGATAATTTACTGTGTAGTAGAGCTAATTACTGCACATTAAGTGTCTGTGTTTACATGCGCAGACACTTACTGAGCAGTAATTGGCTCTAATCATGAGTAAATTTGCTACCTGCAAATGCAAGTAGGAAATTTACTCGTGATTAGTAACAGCACATTAGCACATGTGCAGACATGTGACTGGGAGCAAATTTGCTCCCAGTCAACTGGGCAGCAGGGGATGGGAGACTGTTCCCTGCTCATGGAAGCTGCCTGCTGCCAGGCCACTGGAGGCAGCAGGGAGCTCCCAGCCCCAACTCCCCGATCACAATCACTGACCAGAAGCTGGGGAGACTGCTCCCAGCTGCAGCTCCACAATCGTGATCACGAGTGGGGGCTGGGAACAGGCTGGAGAGCAATTGCTGAGCTGGGGAGGGAACAGAATCCCAGTTCCTGCCCCGCAATTGTGGAGTGGGGACTGGGAACAAGCTCCCTGGCCCCCACCCTGCAATCATAGAGCAGGGGCTGAGAACTGTCCTGGTCAGGGGCAGGTCTCAGCCCCATGCCCTGATCAGGTGATCAAGTTGTGGGACTTGGAAAGAGCTGCAGGGGAGGGGCAGGTTCCAAACCCCTACCCTGATCTGCCAGCGGGGCAGCTAGCAGAGCACATCCAGCCGGGATCTTTCCAAGTCCCCTGCCCCCAGTGCTGCAGCCCTCCAGGAGCAAGGAGCAATCTCCCATCCCCTGCCAGAAGTCAGCTGTCTCCTGGCACCATGTTCCCTGCCAGTCTCTGGGCTAGCACCCAGGGGGAGCCTAGAGTTCCTCCTGGCTGCTGCAGTGGCCCAGAGCATGGCTGGAGGGCGTGGGAGCAGACTGCTGCCAGCAGCAGCAGATCTTGTCCCGCACCCCTGCACATGTAGGTGCCTGCCCAGGATGGGTCCACTCTAGAGTAATTTACTCTAGAGTAATTTACTCTAGAGTAAACCCACCCCAGAGCAAATGCACAGGTAGATGTACCCACTGAATGCTAAACTGACACACATTATGTTCCTTTATAACACTATTTATTCCTTTTTTCAGCTCACTTATATTCCACATATAGCTACTCCATGAAGTCATCATGAATTTGCCCAAGACACTTATGTGTGAATGGCATCTGATTGCACCAGACATTAAGTTGTTTCAATATATGAATCAATACACAATATCTATGAGCATTCTTCTACTGTCCATCTGTCCTGATCCAGAGGCCACTGTAGTCAATAGGGCTGTACAAAACAGCTATGTTTCATTTTGGTTTTGAATTTGGCGTTTCAGAGAGACAGCAATTTATTTTGGTGTTTCAGATTGCTGTCCCATTTTGATTCGGCCAAATCTGTTTCAGAGTTTCAACACTGATTTAGCTATAGGCTATAATGGGGAATCACTGAAATGCCTATAACTTTGTCATATCTTGCCTGATTTAGATGAAAATTGCAGGGATGGTAGCCCCATCTGATGGCATGAATCCTGCCAAGTTTCAAGGAGAGAGATGCAGGAGGTTTTGTGAAACTGGATCTCAAACTGTTCAAAGCAAAACTAGTATCAATTGCCAGCAGCAGCAGCATGCTATCATCCTGCACACAGATCCTGTGCCCCTCAGGAAGAGTCTGGCCAGTGAGGACGGAACTTTTTTCTTTTTTGTGCCAGAAGGCTGGGGTCAGGCAGGGTAGTCATGGGCGCTTCTCCCACAACTCCTCCAGCTGTGCCTGCCTTTGCCCCAGTGAGGGGAGTTGCAGAAGCCCCGCATGGCTGCCCCACCTGGTCCCATCCCTGCCCAGCCCCAGCCTCTCGGCACTTAAAAGAAAAAAAAGAAAAAGAAAAAATCCCCACTCACTGGCTGCAGCAGTGGTGATCAGGGCCTCTGGGAGCTTGTGGCAGAGCCTCCCCACACAGCAGGGGGGGCAGGAGGGCAGCTGCTCCATGGCGCAGGCATAGCGCAGGTTGGAAGGGTGCTGCATGCTGTTTGGGAGCTCGGGAAGCTCCAGCAGTCAGCTGGAGCTCCCAGTTCAATTTCCCCAGCTCTTCCCCCTGGGGGCGTGGGCCCCTGCATCTGTGCGCCAGGTTTCAGCGGACTGCTGCTGCAGGCTGGGGCCAGTGGCAGCACCACACTTTTCACAGAGTTCGGCATGGGCTGTGTTGACCAGCTGCCACTGGTCCCAGCCTGCAGCGGCAGCCTGCTGAAACCTGACACGCGAATCCGGGAGCCCATGCCTCTTGGGAAAAGCTGGGGAAGTGATCAGAGAGTAGGGAGAAGTGATCAGAGAGCTGGGGAATTGAACCAGGAGCTAGATGCCAGTATCAGAACAGTCCTTCCCATCCTCTTCCCCCCCTTTCTTCTTAGTTTTTGCTTCCCTGCACACCCAGCTCCAAAATGCCAAAATTCTCCAAAACATTTCTGAAACGTTTTGAAGCCTTCCATTGGTGTTTTGGGTGCTGAAACAGCCCAAAACACCTCCGAAATGAAATGGCTGCCAAAATTTCACACAGCCCTAGTAATCAATGGAAAGACTCCACTTACTTCCATGGGCTTCAGTCCATGAAAGCACCAACAAGAAAGAAAAAGTTAACATGCTTGGATGTTTTCTAAGTCTCTCTCAATGAAACTGAACTGATTGATAGAATTCAGGCCCACATACCTCCCATATCTAGCCATAATATTAATGAAAGAAAACTTACCGAAGGAAGTTGCATGTTCCATGATATTGTTTGAAGAGTGCATCGGCAAGAGTAGAATCAAAGTCCTGCAAGAAAAAGATAAAAACGTACATCCAAAAACAATGTGAAATTTAATAAAAAGTATTGGCAAAGAGATAAACTGATAATGGGTTTCTAGAAATAGGTTAAATGTTAGGATCCTGCAAAGACATAGGGCCAGATTTTCCTAGGTATTCAAGCACCCAAAGATGCCACTAGATGACTAGTGGAGTTTTTCAAACGTACTCATCTGCATCCTTAAGCACCACAATACCTTTACAAATCCACCCCGACACATATGCTTCACTTAATGTGCTATGAGTACCCCCAGCTTCAAAAAGACTATGCTGAGTGGGTAAAGCTTTTCAGAGCCTCTGAAGAATCAAATCTAATAATCCCAGCACCAACAGCATAACAAACAAGTCATATACAGTACAGACTATACCCACATTTCCTATTTTCAATATGCTGAATATTTTTAATTGCCAACACATGACAACATAATAGATGTTGTCAAAGGGAAACTAGAACAACTGGGAACTTGATTGCTGGGCTTTTCAGATCTAGAGAGAATGAAAGGGCAAATGACACCATGAAACAAGTACATTGCATGAATATGTCTGTTCGAATTATCAGAATTGAAGTAAAAAGGTGACATTTATTTTTTACTAGCGAATTGCCCATCAATGATTGGGGGGTGCAGACACAGCACTGGCACCCACCACCCCACAATGCCGCCGTCTCCCAGAGTGGAGGGAGGGAAGTTTGCACACCACCGCTGCTGCCACCACCCACTGCCCCACATTGGTGGATGTGGAGTGGGGAGGGGGGGAGCTAGCACTCCATACCACTCTGTGTCCAGCTGCTACTACCTACCCCTACCACCACCCACTGCCTCGCGCTGCTGCTTCGTGTCCAGTTGCCCGCTACCCCCCTCCCACATCTGGTCACTATGCACCCGGCCCTGCACCTCCCCACCCCTACATCCAGCCCTGCACCACACAGCCCCCTACCCCCACTGCTCTGGCTGCAGCACTGGCTGCAGCCACGCCCTGCTGGGAGCCACGCCCCCAAGAGCATTATAGACAGACACTCAGACAGATGGACTAAGCCCTTTATATATATATATATAGAATTTGTAAAATCCAGAGTTAACAAACATATAAAGTTAAACAGATCCAGAGTTAACAAATCCACAGTTAACAAACAGATGACCTGGAAGGATGCGGGCAGCGGGGTCCCCCAGGGCTCGGTCCTCAGGCCCACGCTGTTCAACGTCTTCATCAGTGACTTGGACGATGGGG